GGCCTTGCTCTGAGCCCAACCAGGGGCTGCACCTAGGGATTGGGCCTGCCCTCTGCCACCCGGGAGCAGGCCTAAGCCAGCAGGTCATTATCTCCTGAGGGGTCCCAGACTGCGAGAGGGCACAGGATGGGCTGAGGGGCCCCCTCTTCCCCCCAGTGCACAAATGTTTGTGCACCGGGCCTCTAGTATATATATAAGTCTAAGCGACCATTAAGACCGAACAACTGGAATGACCGAAACAACTGGTCAACCAGTTGCTATGATGCGCAGTGACCACCAGGGGCAGATGCTCAACACAGGAGCTGCCCCCTGGTGGTCAGTGCCCTCCCACAGCCAACCGGCAGGCCCCGCCCAGCAGGCGGCAGGACTGGGTGAGATAGCCCTGATAGGCCTGATTGCTGGCCAGGCTTAGGGACCCCACCCGTGCACAAAATTCGTGCACGGGGCCTCTAGTTTTAAAATATTAGATAGCAGGGACTAGGCTTTCCATTTTCTTTATCTTGCCTACTTTTCACCTCAGTCTTTTTCCTCTATTTGCTAAAGTTTTCTCATATTTGTCCTTCAACTTTTCCATTAAGATTTGCATTTATAATTTGTGAATGTTCTGTTTTTTGCTTTGGGAATAGTCTTCCTGTAGCATTTTAGTCTTGTTTCATATATGCTGTATTTTGTTTTCTTTTGTAAGGTACTTACGGTGTTTTAAAAAGTTTTTTGTCTTTTTTTCATAGTTATAGTTTCATTTTTTTCCATGTTGTCATTTTTGTCTTTCATGTTAGAGAGGACTGCATAGACACATTCCAGCTGTCACATCCTCTGGAGTCTCACTTTTCCAGAGGCCTTTTCCATTGGGCAACTGGGGGAGGTGGTGATGAAAAGTCAGTCATCTCAGCTGGCCCGGGATGACTCCATGGGACAACCAGCTCCCAGATGGTTGGCTGAGGCTTTGCTGCATTCACATCTCAGTTCTTTTGTTCTCAATCCTGCTACTTTCCCCTTCTTTCCTCAGACATCAATCCTTAACAAATGTTTGATACTCTGAATTCCATCTCAACCTCTTTCTCTGAAGCACTCAACCTACAACAAATTCAATTGCAATATAGTGCCAAACCTGTCGATTAATTGGTGAAAACTGAGTCTCTTTTAACACTCAGGTTTCTATTTGGAAACATGAGATGTCTCCAAATTTATTTAAGTCTTCTTATATATTTTTTACAAACCTCTCTTCATATGGGGTTTACAGGTTTCATTTTAAGGTTTTTCCCGGTTCTCATATTTATTGTTATTATTTCTTTCTACATTATGAATTGAGAGCCCTTCATTATACTTTCTATGTTACCCATAGCTATAAATTAATTTATAAATAATACTATAAATGTTATAAAACATTTTTTTAAATATATTTTATTGATTTTTTTACAGAGAGGAAGGGAGAGGGATAGAGAGTTAGAAACATCGATGAGAGAGAAACATCAATCAGCTGCCTCCTGCACACTCCCTATTGGGTATGTGCCTGCAACCAAGGTACATGCCCTTGACTGGAATCGAACCTGGGACCCTTGAGTCCCCAGGCCGACGCTCTATCCATTGAACCAAAGCAGTTAGGGCAGTTCCTTCTTTTTTTTCATTTTTTAGAGCTGCGGTTTTTATTTTTTTTAATTAAATTAAAATTTTTTATTGATTTTAGAGAGGAAAGAAAAGGGAGAGAGATAGAAACATTAATGATGAGAGAGAATTCATTGATTGGCTGCCTCCTGCATGCCCCCTACTGGGGATTGAGCGTGCAACCTGGGCATGTGCCCCTGACCGGAATTGAACTTGGGACCCTTCAGTCAGCAGGCCATGCTCTATCCACTGAGCCAAACGGCTAGGGCAGTTCCTTCTTTAAAAAAAAAAAATAAAAAAAAAAATATATATATATTAAAGTGGAAGTGAGAGGGAAAGAGATAGAAACATCAATGATGAGAATCATTGATCAGCTGCCTCCTGCATGCCCTTGACTGGGGGTGGAGCCCACAACCCGGGCATGTGACATGACTGGGATTCAAAGCTTGACCTCCTGGTTCATGGGTTGATGCTTAACCACGGAGCACATCAACTGGGTCATTAGTAGCTTCTTGATCATCCCTTGTTTGGCTTCGAAACTGTCAGTTTTCTCTTCTGTTATTTCCTTTTAGATTTATGCCTTTTTATAGCTTTAGTGGGGTTTTGAAAAGTGGATAGACTTAGATGCATATATTTACTTTGTCATCTTTTTCTTAATTTATATTTTTAATCAGTTATTTGGTATATATTTGTGACTTTGAGAAATGAAAAGAATAGAATGCATATTATAGACAAATTTTTGGCCTATACAGTTAGGCTTCAGACTAAGGCAGTTGATATTTAGAGGAGAAAAAGGGACTTTTTACCCTTTGCTCAATAAATCAATTACTATTGCAAAACCATTTTTAAAAAAATATATTTTTATTGATTTCAGAGAGGAAGGCAGAGAGAGAGAAACATCAATGATGAATCATTGATCGGCTGCCTCCTGCACGCCCCCTACTGGGGATCGAGCCTACAACCTGGGCATGTGCCCTTGACTAGAATCAAAACTGGGACTCTTGCCAAAACCGGTTTGGCTCAGTGGATAGAGCGTCGGCCTGCGGACTAAAGGGTCCCAGGTTCGATTCCAGTCAAGGGCATGTACCTGGGTTGCGGGCACATCCCCAGTAGGGGATGTGCAGGAGGCGGCTGATCGATGTTTCTCTCTCATCGATGTTTCTAACTCTCTCTCTCCCTTCCTCTCTGTAAAAAATCAATAAAATATATTAAAAAAACAAAAAAAACCAAAAACCCGGGACTCTTCAGCCCGCTCTATCCACTGAACCAAACCAGCTAGGGCCAATTTTTTTTATCTGAATACCTTCTCAGTTAAATATGCTATTCATTTATCATTTTTAGCAACCACTTAGGTAATGCATGTTAAACGTTCTTCATTTATTTTATGTCAGGGCAGGTGAATAAAATAGAGCTGTAAATTATTACAAGCTGTCTTCAAAGCTTTACAAATTATCTAAATACTAATAACCAGCCATTAAAGTTTTAGTTATTTAACAGTATTATATAGTTGAACATGTGATAAACAGTTCATAATCCACTAAGAAAAAACTTGAGTGCTTTACCTAATGACCAAATATTATAGATTTGGATGACCATATAATTTTTTGTCCAAGCTGGGGCACTTAAGAGTGATAGGGTATGCTCTGACATAGGACTGTTATAGACAGATAGGGACATTTATACTTTACGAGTCCCACAGTTTAGTGATGAATGACAAATTAGGAAAGAGTTCTAAATATGGGTACATAGCAGGATTTTGCATTAAAAGGACGGGGAATTAAAAAAAAGTTGATAGTGTTTAGTTATACAGAATTGATTCAGAAGTATTGGATATGCATAGGTTTGGAAATAGCTTTTCATTTTATAGTTTGTGAGTTTTTTCTTTGTAACTTAGTGAATTACTTAGCTTTCTCTTTTTCCAGTATTTTTTTTTCTTTCCCACACTTTTGTGTTTCTCCTTCCCGTAGATAAAATGTACAGATAGGGAAAGAAGGAAAATTAATAGATTTTTTTTATTAGAAGCATTGTTAAAGGTGAGAAGGTTTATTAAATTATTTTCATACTCTTCATTTTCTTTTATGATACATTTTCTTGGCTTAAGTGTTTTTCATTGTAATTTTTCTTTCTGTTGATCTAACACTCTAGTCTAGTATATACTTCATTTCCTCTTTTAGGAATAGCTTGGATGCTAAAATGGTGATATAAGTGAAGCACATTCAAAAGGAATATGAGTTCTTTTGAAGTTGTGCTTTAAAACACAGCTTGTTTGTAATAGGTGGTTTAGTTCATTTTATTGGTAGTTGAATTTTTGTTTGGGTTTTATATATTTAAAAATATTTAATGTTTAAAATGGTATGGCAGCCTTGCTTTAGGATGGGTATGGATGTAAATTAAGCTTTTTAAACTTATTTTACTCCCAGCTTATTTCTTTTTATTTTATTTTTTCCTTTATTGATTAAGGTATTACATATATGTCCTTATCCACCCATTGCCCCCCCCCCCCCCCCGCACCTCTTTTTTTGTTAAAAAAAAAAAAAGAGCCCTAGCTGGTTTGACTTAGTGGATAGAGGGGTCGGCCTGCGGACTAAAGGGTCCTGGGTTCGATTCCAATCAAGGGCACATGCCCGGGTTGCTGGTTCGATCCCCAGTAACCCAGGGGGCATGCAAGAGGCAGCCGATCAATGGTTCTCTCTCATCATTAATGTTTCTATCCCTCTCCCTTATTCTCTGAAATCAATAAAAATATATATAAAAAAAGAGATGATGAAAAATTTGTCTTATAATAAGGTATAATAGTCTAAATTTTAGAGGTTTCCCCCCCTGCCAGAATTTATAGAACTTTGATAAATATAAAATTTAACATATGTATGTATATATCTAAAAATCACCATCATGAGTAACTGTTCAGGACATTTTCGTTGAGATGATACATTTTGTAGCTCAGAATAAAGAAGTGTATATTCTAAGTTGTCTTGAAATAAAAACACATGGCAAAATAGCTAAGTTATTTTTATTTTTTTTCCTTGTGATAGAACAAGTAAGAAGTTTGCGACAAAGCACTATTGCCAAGCGTTCAAATGCAGCACCTTTAAATAGCACAAAAAAAGCACCTGTGAAGACTGTATCTGCCCCTAAAGCAGGGGGGAAACAACCAGAAAGGTGTCAGATAAAAGAAGAAGCTTGTACATCACCGAAACCTGAGTATCATAAAGAGAGCAGAAGGGGCAGTCGGCATCTTGAACAAACTGAAGTATCGGAAGTATCAGTGTCTTCAAGTCACTCTTCAGTGTCATCTTGTCTTGAAATGAAGGATGAAGTTGGATTAGATTCTAAGCAGAAGTGTAATAATCAGGAAAAAGCAAATGTGCCATCTCATGAATTAAATTGTCCACTCCTTTCAGAGACTTGTGATAGTATTGAAGAAAAGAAAAATGAAACTCTGGTGGAATGTAAAATCAAGACTGTTAGTAGCCCATTGTTTACATTTTCAGATAAAGAAGAACATGAACAGAATGATTCTATTTCAGATAAAGTGGGTGAGACTATTGTTGAAGAAATGAGTGCAAAGGTTGAACAAGAATCAAAGGAAACGGTCAAATTATCCCTTGAAGGTGACCAAATTGTTGAGGAACCAGAATCTGCTGCTGCTCTCTGTGGTGATGCTTCTTGTACAAATCCAAATAAGACCGAAAAGAACCTTGTAGGTTTGTCTAGCACTGTGGATGAAGTAAATGAATGCCATTTGGAATTGAAGAATTCGATGGAATTTGATCAAGCTAAGAACTCTCTTCATAGAAATGAACTAGAACCATTGGGTTATTGTAAAGACATAGAGTCTAATCATAAACAGTTGGAGAGCACTGAATTTAACAAATCAAACTTTAATGAGGTGGTTGATACTAGTGCTTTTGAACCAGAGTGTAATATTGTAGAAAATGCTATTTGTGATGTGCCTGACCAAAATTTAAAACAGTTGAATATTGTTGAAAGTATTAAAATGGAGTCTCATGAAACAGCAACCCTTCAGGATGACAGAAACAGCCCATCAAATAGTGTTTCTTGCTTAGAGTCAAAAAACATAAAATCCAAACACACAAAACCTGTAATTCACTCTAAGCAAAGCATGAGCTCAGATACTTTGAAAAAAATTGTTGCAGCAAAGCATGAATTAACGCATAACAAAACTAAAGCTAGTGTCAAAAGTGTGAAACGGAATGCCAGTGAACTAGAATCTCAGCAAAATTTTCATAGGCCAGTCAAAGTGAGAAAAAAACAAGTTGATAAGGATTCAAAGATTCAGAGTTGCAATTCTGGGGCTAAGTCTGTGAAAAATCAAGCTCATTCTAATTCGAAAAAAACACAAGATCAAAATTTAGTACAGATTTCGAAACCTGTAACACATTGGTTGAGTGATAAGCCTCATGGTCAGCCTGGTTGCTCTAAAGAACCTCATCATCCTGCACAAACTGGACATCTATTACCTTCCTGCCAGAAACAGTGCCACAAGCCCCAACAGCTGGCTCTAGCAGTAAAAACCAATAGTCATGTGAAGGAAGAGCTTGAACATGCAAGTGGTGCAGAGCATTTTAAGGAGGAGGATAAACTGAAACAAAAAAAACCTGAGAAGAACCTACAACCCCGCCAAAGAAGAAGCAGCAAAAGTTTTTCTTTGGATGAGCCACCATTGTTCATTCCAGATAACATAGCTACCATAAAAAAAGAAGGCTCAGATCATAGCTCTTCATTTGAAAGCAAATATATGTGGACTCCCAGCAAGCAGTGTGGGTTTTGCAAAAAACCCCATGGCAACAGGTGTGTGTGTGTGTGTGTGTGTGTGTGTGTGTGTGTGTGTGTGTGTGTGGTGTGTGATGTGTGTGTGATGTGTACATTGAAGAGAAATTCCTTTTTCAGTGTGGGATTAGTGTGAACATTTTAATAGAAAGAAATTATCATACAAAGACTTTTGCAGAAAAAAATAACCCTCATCAATCCTGGATTAGTGATAGCAAGATGGAGCCACTGAATTTGCAAATATATTATCTTAGCTCATTTTAAAAAGTATAGCGTGACCAACAGTTGGTATATGTGGAAATGTTCCATCATTGTAACCAGTTGGTGTAATTTAGTCATTACATATGGAGAAATAATTTTTTTCTGCTAATCAGAAAATGGTTACACTGCCTTGGGTCTCTATATATTTTATTTGGCTTGAGAAAAATTAGTAATAAAGTGTGAAGGTCATAGTGGAAATTCTATTTTTCTTTTGAAGGTTTGGGGAGAGGGGGTTAAATGAAGCACACCATAACTTCAACTACTTCATAACTATCAAACTTAACCTTGGAGTGAAATTTGATAGCTAAAAGAACTGTTATATTACCCAGGTGAATTTTATATGTATCATGGAATGGAGTGAAAACATTTATTAGTTTCTTTTTTGGAAAATTTTAGTGATTTGGAGGATTTCTTGTGAATTCTGATCTTTTAAGAAATGATTTTAACACTGTCCTTTGGCATTCTTTCCTTAGGAATCAGTGTTTTGTAGTTTGATGGCACTCCTACCCCCCATCCCCCATCCCCCATCCCGGCCATATATTTTATTTGCTAGTTTTTTAAGAAAGGAAAACAAGAAGTGAAGTGGATATTGCAGCTACAAGATTATCCTGTTCAAGTGTTCAGATTGCTGTTGGGACTTCTATCAACATTGATAATGATAAAAGAACATTAAAACTTGCACATTGTAATGTTCTCCTTACTCATGAAAGTAAATGTTATAATGACTTTCACAGCACTGTCGGATTACATAAGTGAAACTATTTAGGGGGGACCTTTTAGTAAAGTGTGTTGTACATTATTTTAGTGTGGGAAAATGTGGTTGGGGAGAGAGTGTGGGTAGTTATGGGGCTATTCCTGTAAAAAATCAAGTTTATGTCAAAGGGTTTCTTCATTGTTGATTCAGCCTGTGGCCTATTTTTCGTGTGATTGGTTATTTATTTTATAACAACATATTTCAGTTTTTCAAAGTTGTGACTTATTTGAAGGTAGTGCTACATTTGCCCTCACTTATATCTTTATGCTTTTTTTTTTTTTAACTTAAAACACTTTATTCAAATATTCTAAAGTGGGCCTGTTGAATTTTCAGGTCTAAGAGAATTCGGGGCTGGAAGGTACATGTAAGTGCTCTTTTATGCCAGCCCCTTTTTCTTTCTTCCAGAATCTTCTATAAACTATCCCAGTGACATGTGGTCAGAGGAATAGGAGTCTTAGAGTGAATGAATTTCTAAAATGAAACTTTGGCCTAGAGTTGGAAGCCAGGTTAAGGATGTTATTATGTAACTTTTTTTGCAGATAAAAGTTCTGTTCTGATGATCGGTCCTTAGTAGTTTTGCTCAAGCTTTTAAATGATGACTGTCACTTTATCAACATCAACAGTTATTTTCCTAAAGTGAAGATTAAGTGTTAAGTCCCACTTTTTTTTTTATCGAGTGCTGCCTTTTGGATCTACTCTATAAGATCTAGAATTTCTTTGCTTCAGTCTGGAAAATGACAGTATAGGGATTTTGAGTTCATCCTATGTAATTTATATGAATAATAACATTGGAAACAGTCTTGGAAGAACCATTACACATTACTTCAATTTTGTGAATAAAGAACCCTAAATAAATGATTGGTTTTTTTCTTTACATATTAACTAGCCCTCACTACTTTGACACATTGTGCTTGTATATATTGAGGTTACTCAAAGAATGTACCAGTCATGCAGCATGTAATTTTCTTTAATTCATGCATAAGAATATGAATTAGTTAGGAAGGGCATATTTGGAAATAATTTTTATCTTTTTCATTTCATGCACTAGCCCATTGAAAGCTATTTGCTAATATGACATTTTCTAGCACTTAAGACAGACAGCTTTGCTTCTGTAAATACTATTTTAGTAAGTCTTAAGCGTTTTACATGTATTCCAGTAGAGGTTAGCTTCTTGAATGTGTTCCCAGTGGAAATTATGTTTTTAAATAAATTTGTTCATGGTATGGCCAAATGTAAGCAGCTAGTATACATGTCCTACAGACAGTAAGTATTGACTAACAATTGACACATCATACTGGCCTGTTTTTTTAATTTGTTTGTTTATATCTTAGATTCTTTTTTCTTGATTCAGCCATACAACAAAGATGTACACATTATTTTAAAAACCAGTTTTTATTTAATACTCATTTTTAAAAAATTAATGTCACTTTTGAACTACTTGTAAACATAAGCCAGCTAGTGTTTCAGAAGGAACAGATAGTCTTTTCATACTACCTTGTAGTTATTAGTTGTCCTGAAAACATTTGCATCTTTATATTATAATTTCTTGTTCAGTTATAGAAGATTAGTTTATTGGATGAAATCTAAAATTTTAGCTGAATGGATTCAAAGCTTTATAATCAAAGCAACCTTTTCTGAGAAGGAAATTTTCGCCTAGAATAAATAATTCTGGGTTTTTTCTTTTCAGGACTTTAAGAGTTTGAAAAGTATTTTTCTCTGCAGATTAGGTTGTTAGTGACAAAAACAGGATTAAAGTTTATGTGGAATTGAACCCTTTTATTTTAGAAAAGAATGAGTATATATATACATTCACAGTAATGTCTAGATTTGCCACTTAACAGAACTGAAGGCCCATCTTGTAACAATTACATTGTCAGTGAATTAATGACATGAATTTGTTAAGAATAGGAGTTCAGTGTTGCCTCTGGGACTTACTTTGAAAAAACTTGAAAATTTTCTAAAAATATATTTTGGCGTATGCCAAAAAGATTAGAATATTAAATTAGTTTCTAATTATAGTGGATCTCATTTAATTTTTTAAAATTTTTATTTAAGATTTTGTGTATGAACCTATAATAGAACAAAAATATTTCCAAACTCTTCAATTTAATTGATATATGCTGACTTGGTCCCCTTAATTAATCCAGTGCTAAACTACACACCATATATACATATACATACACAAATACATATATATGATTTCAGTGAAAGAGTTAACATCCAGGTTGTAGGATTATTTTGTTAAGCTTCACTGGAGGATATTTTTTTCCATGATTTTTAGAGAGAGTGGAAGGGAGGGAGGGAGAGAAACATCAATGTGAGAGGTACATTGGTTGCCTTCCATATGCGCCCCAAATGGGGCCAGGGATAGAGCCTGTGACCCTTCAGTTCAACGGCCGATACTCTAACCACTGGGCAAAGCTGGCCAGGGCCCAGGTTGTAGTCTTTTAAGTGATTTTTACCTAGTAGTAACCAGATCAAGGACAGCAGAAAATGAGAGAGAAACCCTGTTTGCAGTGTGATACAACGCCCCCCCCCCCACCCATGAGAAATAATACAAAAAGGGAAGAAAATATATAATCTTACCTTTGTGAATCTATACACTATAACTGGTCATAATGTATAGGTTTTTAAGCAGTGTCTTACTCTGACAATGGAAATAAAGGGAAATCCCTATTAGCTTTCCTTTAATATTTCAAAGACATTGTTTTCAAGCAATAGCAACTTTGCAATGTGAATAGAACTTTTAAGCATCTGTATTCAATTTATTTTTCTGTTGGCTGCAAGTTCTTATAATTGAAACATGCACCCATCTAAAATGTCCCCACACCTAAAGAAACAATTTCTGTATTGCAAACTAACCATGTTGTTTAAAAGCTTACATAATAGGGTTATGAATCCAAAACATTCTAGTTTTTGTTTTTACATAAGGCACGAGATTTTTTGCTTTTTCCTCCTACACCAAATGATCATTGGGGAAATGGTGACTTATAAAGCCAGCACAGTTAGGGTAAAAAATGGAGAATTATAGACTTGAAGTCTTGGTTTCCTTCATGCACAGCAGTAGCTTGGTATACAGTAGAAAGGCACAGAACAAGAGTGCTGCTATTGAGGAATGAGATATTTGGGATAACTTTTCAGGTTACCATGTAAAGCATGAACCTCTTACGATTTTTGTATTTCCAATATTAAAACAGAACCTCTGGTGTATTTAGGGAGAGTTGGGCATGTAACTGTTTACCTTTACTATCTTCATATTGGACCACAGTTTTTTATTTTTATTTTTAAATTTATTTTTATTTTTTCTTAATTAAATCTTTATTGTTCAGATTATTACAGTTGTTCCTCTTTTTTCCCCCCATAGCTCCCCTCCACCTGTTCCCACCCCACCCTCTGCCCTTATCCCCCCCCCCACTGTCCTTATCCATACGTGTACGATTTTTGTCCAGTCTCTTCCCGAATCCCCCACACCCCTTGTTTCCCCCCCCAAGAATAGCCAGTCCACTCCCTTTCTATGCCCCTGATTCTATTATAATCACCAGTTCATTCTGTTCATCAGATTATTCACTTGA